TTCAGCATTATATTATAAGCTGAAGTTTTTTTGTCCTGGATAAGTTTTTTCAAAAACTTCAGCAGAAGATGCTGAAGTTATTTAGTTCATTTGTAAAATCTTCAGCATTATATTATAAGCTGAAGTTTTTGAAAAAACTTTCTAACATACTAGATAAATAATCAAATTACCAACAGTATCTAACATCATAAATTTTGGAAACAATAAATGTGAAAATAACATAATTATCATGAAAAGAATCACTAAGTGTGACCTTAAACTTTCCGTACGTGGAAATATTCACAAATTATTGTCTACTAACGTACTTATTAAATCTGATAAACATACTTATGACAATCATCCCATGAACTGAAGTTTCATAGCAGCACCAACAACATAAGAAGAAGAAGAAGAATCCAATCTATGTTAAAAATTTCTGAATTCGCTTCTAATCACCAACGGCTTCATTCTTTATCAACAAGCTTGTATTAGGTGCATGATACAAAGAAACAAATGTGTGAAAAATATAAATTACAGTCAAACTTCTTTATAATAGCATCCCTATATAAAATAGTCATAAACTATAAAAGCCAAATTTTTTTCAGAATCGATTTTTTAAGTTATATCTTACACTCCCTATAACAACTTTTTACCTATAAGAGCAACAATAATATTTATAGCAGAACGCTTTTTGTAAAAATAGCCCTCTATAACAACCATATAGAATTTTTAAGATTACTACTAATAATTCTAAAAATATGCGCATGATTTTTTCCATTAAACAAAGTTTCTATCTTGCATAATATATAAGATTTGAATATTTGCACATGATATCTTTTCCATTGAACAAATTTCAAAAAATATTTAGATAGAAAATATATAGATTGTCTTCAAGGGAAAACTATTGAATTATTTTTTTAGGTAGCTTTAAAATGTCAGCCTTAGAGTTTAAATATGTATAATTTTAGTTATGAATTTATTAATAATGTATTAGCTCTCTTAAATATTTAACTAGTGAAATATATATATTTTTGAGATTTTAAATTTGAATAGTTTTCTTATCTTTTATATGCAACATTAAAAAAGAAAAAAATAATTGATTTCTCGATCATTTTTATTTATAACAGCCAAAAATTATTTAAATGTCAAATATTGTTATAAGTGTATAACAGTCGTTCACTATAAAAATTAAAAAATATCAGAACAAACAAGATTATTATAAGAAAGGCTGACTGTATATGAATAGGTCTCTGTAATGTAACAAAAATTGGTGTCATGTTAACATGAGCAAATGTAGGCGTTGTCAACATGTCGGCAGTAGGATGAACAATCCTCGACAACTTAAATGGTGTTAGATTGTCGTGTCACGATCTCATGCAACTCATAATTTGATGGATAGGAAATTTTCTAGTTTGGTAACAAATTATGTTTTTTTTTAATTTAAAAGATAAGTTATATTATATTAAACACTGCGTCTAGAGGCAGGATGCATACCTTACATCCTATTACAAGCATATGCACCTTGGGTGCTATAATATTTTGTCCAATTATTTTACTACTACGCATAGGTCTACTACTATTAATATCCATATTTACAATATTGTAATCACTAGAATTAGATCTATTATTATCAAAAACAAGTCCCTGCACTGTACTCTTTTCCCTCTCAAAAAGTGACCTTGCCAAAACTGGGCTGTCATCAAAAATATGCACCATTGATTGTAAGTCAAAATTGCAGCACTCCTTTGCTAGCTTGTCCGCAACTCCATTCTGCTCTCTGTACGCATGCATTATTATAGGTTTACCCAACCTGTCCAGGAGGTACCTGCAATCAGAAATTAAATTATTAGGTATGTTTTTAGTGGAAGTGAGTAATCTTAGTAAATCCTTCAAGTCCACTTCTACTTCCAGTGGTAGTAGATTACGATCAAGAGCTAATTGGAGTCCTTGCATTAAAGCATATGTTTCTGCTGTAGTTGGTGACCCCGCTGTAATTGATGCTGCAAATCCTATTACTCATTCCGCATTTGCATTTCGTATTAAACCACCAATACCAAACTTACTATTATTATGGGCACCGTAAGTGTTTAGTTTATAGAAAGGAAATTTAGGAGGTTTTCATTTAAGATTTTGTTGTCTCTTTCTCCTAATAGTATGCTTGTTAGCAATAAGATATGTAAATTCAGCAGCTTGTTGAGTAGTTAACTTCGTAGAAGCTATTGATGTACTATGTTTATAACAATTATTATTCCGGGCTAACCAAATATTCCATAAACTCAAAGACAAGTATGTGGTTAGATTTATCTTGTATGGAACATAAAAGTTTTTGAAAGTTATAAGCTTATGAATCCAATTAGAATCATTCGATTGTGACAAGTAAATGATATAATCAAGTATACCCAAAGTCTGCCAATATGTTTTAGCACTAATGCATTCTAGAAACAGATGCGTAGTGTTTTCATCTTTCTCATGGCAATATTGACATATAGCATCTTGAATGATGTTGCAATGTTTGAGATATTCCATAGTGGATAGTCTTTTTTTAAAAAGCAACCATATGAACCCTTTGATTTTGGGTTGAACAGGTAGCCTCCAAATCCAGTCGTAATTTATATAATTTGTTATAGTAATATTATGTTGTGCATCTAATATATTATACATGGACTTAGTACTGAAAATACCTGTAGGAGTTAAGCCCCAGAAAATTCTGTCAACTTTGTTACCATATTTTGAAATATAAACCGATTGAATTAGATGTCTAATGATATTGGGTAGGTCAAAAGGAATTTTATTCCAATCACATCTCTGGATGAGATAGTCATGTTTTGATACTCCAAAGGTAAAGGCCCATAGATAGTTGATCTAATAGTCGTATCAGGTGCATTCCACGGATCCTCCCATAACCTAATGTGTGTGCCTCTTCCTATATTCCATTTTATGCCTAACTGGCATAGGTAACAAATTATGTTGTCTTTTGACTGACACCCATTTTATTTTTCTTACTCATTTAAATTAAAATAAATTCAGAATTGAAGTAGTGGTTGCAAAGTAACATTGCACCTACAACTCATACGTAGTGTGATATTAGTACAAATATAATATTAAGGATTTTAAGCCTTCCACCAGGGGTTAAGCAGATGTAAAAAAAATTGCATAATATTTTTTTTTATCTTTGTTAGGATTTGAACGCCGATCTCCAAACTTTGTACCCATTACTATACCACAACCCTTGAACTTCAAACTCATTATATATGTTGCAAAGGGGTATACATAGGTCGGGTTGGTTCGAATTTTGTAAATACCAAACCAAACCAATTATGTCGGGTTATTAAATCTAAAGACCAAACTAAACCAATAAAACTCGGATTTTTTTCGATAAAATCTTCGTAGCACAAAATGTATAATTTGTGGTTAAAATATTTCGTTAATCCTAATAAGATACAACTATATAAGGTATTTTTCAAGAAAATAATACAAACTATGAGTGTGTCATGGAATTATCCTAAAATATTCAACAATATAGACAATAAAATTATGTAATATAAATATTGCTAATTAAAAAATTACAATAAAAATAAACATAATCTAAAAGTACTAAGTCATGCTAAAATAAGTAGACTAATAAGAAAATATTAATTACATGACTAAACGCTAAAGAAAAAATAAAAATAGGTTATGTATTTTTATCTAAATTATCGCAAAACAAAAATAAATATTCAAAACATTGTCGTTCGTAGTATTGAATTGAATGTCTTTTGTTAGCATTAGTATTGATTTGATTTTGGTTTGGACTTTTGTTAGCATTATTTAAGTTACTAATATTAATGGCTATAAAACTTATTGGAACATTTAAAAATTCTAAGTCCAACCTTGAAATAATACCTTAAAAGATAAAATAATGAAAAAGTTAAGAAATTACATCACAATAAGTATATTTATATATTAAATATATCTAAAATTTCTATATATGTAATGTCGGGTTGGTTTGGTTTCGGTTTGACTTTTTTTAGTTAAAACCAAACCAAACCAAACCATTTATGGTCGGATTTTTTTTTCCAACACCAAACCAAATCAAACCAAACCATAGTCGGGTTTTTTTTTCTCGGTTTGACTCGGATTATCGGGTTGGTACGGTTTATCGGTTTCCTTTGTACATCCCTATGTTGCTTAAAGTAAAAGGAACTTCATTAAATATGCAGTTATATATTTGACGCAACATGCCCTAAAAAGAAGAAATTTTTTTTAGGCTGGTTAGTCTTTTTTAAAATGCACTGCTCTTCTAAAAAAAATTTACATTCTGAGAAATGAACTGGAGAACTTTTTGAAAAAAGTACAAACACTCGATCCCACTTCTTTTCTTTGCACAAATTCTAAATAGAGAGAGGAACATTAGTCAACATTACCGGCTAGGAATTCCAGAAATTCCTGAGATTTTTTGATAGAAAGTAGAAAATGTTTGGCCTAATTTGACCAATATCTAAGGATTTCCTGTTCATGACCAAAACGTGAAAATTGCTGAAAGATTGGTTAGTTTGGACACCTAACTTTTTTGCGCATAATTGTTGGATAACATCTCTCATTGAAATTGACATATTCTTGGCGACAATATTGAGTGCAAGGGATAATCCATGGTGCAATCAGTTATGTTATACTCAACTTCTACGTAACTTCAACTTTAGTAGATTTATTTACAATACTAGCTTGCTTTTTACTTGGGCCCATCCAAAGATCCTTGCCAAAAAATCGCAACAAAGAAAAGCATCACATGACTGTTTCATGCGATAGGGCATCGTCGATACAGGATCGTGCCCGGAGTCCTTTGTGTTGTAAAACCAAGTTCATTAATGACCCCTAGTCTCTAAAAGATTAATCGTTTCTTAGGAAGAAAAACGACAGCTTAATCTGTCTTAGTAAGCAATCTTTTTCAAGATGAAAAACAAAATCAGCAAGCTAAGGTTGCTACAAAGAGAAATTTCAGTGATACTAGATTAGAGGAGAAGACAAATAGAAGCTGCAATAAGTTAATGAACAAGTTAACTCGCTAAGCTTCGATTAAGATGATAAACATGAAACAATGTAGAAGCCTCCTTATTGGTTATGATAAAGGGAAGCTCAAAATAGTAGACCTGCAATTCCTAGAAACTCCTTTGTACAAGGTTTAAGTGCAAAACACAGTTTGCCAACAAAATACCAAACATAGTGCTGCTAGTCACTGATCCAAAAGTAAGTTGCATGGTATTTTATCACAGCACAAGGTCATCGTGAACATCTCAAAAGGGCTTTTGATCATAGTCAAAACTTTTTTTTTCCCTTCTTCCGATACCAATCAAGGATCTTTAGCGTCCAGACCTAATATGTACCCCCAAAAAAAGGCAACTCCTTGCCCAACTAAACATTTATGTATCACTTGATGGTAATGTAGCGATTCGTACCATGTTTGGCCCAATAAGTCTTGAGATCAATTGGCATAGACAGATCATGGCCAACTGCTGCAAGCCTTGTAAGCAATCTGCTAAATACGCTTCCACTCATTTTCCTACCACCAATACGAGCATGGCGCTTGTTTGGCAATTGCGGTAGTGGATACTCTGACAGATATGTAGTGCAGCAAGATGACTGCCAACCCCCACTTCCCCATTTGTAACACTGCCTTGGTATTCCGGTACACGTGCAAACAGGTATTGGCATGGAAGATTCGTCAAACTTGATCTGGTTTATTGACCCAAGATCCTGAGCATCCCATTCAGCTTTAGATCCATCTGTTGTAAGATGCCGATTCAAATCTTCACTCACTTTCTTTGTCTTCCTTGGCGATTTCGCTGACTTCCTTGACATGCCTTTGTTTCCCTTTGTTCGCTTTACTTGGAGTGCCTTGGCAACTTCAGATGAAATGGCCGATATAGGAAAAGCATCAGTTAAGGGCACATCCCTATTGATACAAACAGAATCAGTGCTATTGTCGCAATGATTTTTAGTTTGATTAGGGCGCTTTGTTCCGCGTGTCCTACAACCCAATGTTCCATTCATGGTGCTTTCCTGAAAGTGGAGGGCAGCAATTGCATTGTCCCTTTCTTTTATGGCAGTATCTCGCTCAGCAATTGCTGTATCTCGCTGCTGGATTGCCAAATCTCGCTCTGTTAATACTGTATTCTTTTCAATCACTGCTCTATCCCGTTCTTCAACAGCAGCGTCTCGTTCAGCGAAGAGCATTCTGATTTTCGTATTCATGATGAAAGCCTCTTGGTCCTTCATCTGATAAGGAGGTACCACGTTCCACTGCAGTGAAAGAAATGGTACTGGAACTACATTACTACTGATCATATGTCAAGAGATATTCGGAACAGAATAAAACAGATTAGTTCCAAGATTCTGCTTGGTACTATGATAATGCATCCTTGTTATTGGATGATTCATTTTAGTCAGTTAATTTTTGTTATTAATGAGTAAATTCCCAAGTAGCTTGTGATTCCTTTCATAATAAAACACTTCTCTTACCGGCGCATGACCTCCTTTGGAGCAATCCATTCTGTGTCTCCTACTTTCTCGTCGGCCCCCATCGTCCATCTTATATGTGTGCTTGATGAGGAGCAGATTTGTATCTCCCTCTATAGAGTATTTTCTGGATCAAATATCAATTGGCTGTCTGGCTCTCCACTCAACACTCATCCTGCAGTAAATAATAGAGGGAAGGAAATAAGAAGTGAGTCCAGACTAGCTACTGCAATGCAGGTAAGATAAAATAAATCAGCCATTAGTAAACAGATAAGACTCCAATTAATTGTCCAAATATACACAAAAAAAAAAATTGGCATAAGTGCGTGTTCTTTAAAGAGGAGTTATGGCTACGTAATAGAGAGAGAGAGAGAGAGAGAGAGAGATGTTAAGGATACGATCCAGTAGCAATAACGGCCAAATAAATAGTGCATCAAGCCTTTTGAAAACAAATTATCCCCAAACACAGAGGAACCTCAAGCGGTGCTCAAACCTCAAGGTACGACCCACCTCCAAGCAAATAGTAGGTCAAATGTCCAGTTTATCTTAATGACTTACATGCTAATGATGCTTTTATAATATCGCCAGCTGGCAAAGACGGGACAACTAATAGGATGTCAGGTATTTGGACAAATATCCCCAAAATAGCAATTAGCAGAGTAGTTCCACTTTCTTGAAGCAAAAATCTCAACCGTAATAGGGTGCCTAGGAGGTCATACAATGGTTTAGCAACTTGTGAATAAAGCTCTTACTTCCCTTTGAGACAGAAAATTTTGACAATATAGCAGGGGAAGGAGTATCTAAGAAGTAGACATGAAAAAGGGCTGTCTTCTAGTGCTTGAGTAAGAAGCATCTTTCCATACATCACACTGTCAAGCCAAAGTGACAGGCTTATCCTGCTAAGTAACTCAATTTACCAGTTTTTTCCTCCTCCAGGATAATGCAGGAGGGAAGGTGTATAGAAGAAGCAGACTTACCAGAGAAAAAGAAAAAAATTCTGTTCTCTGAAATTGCACAAATGAAGACAGATCACTTTACAGTAGCAGGAACATGTTGTCATTGTGCAGTCATTTATGATATTCATCATCTGTTCAAATAAAATCTTCATAACCTTACATCACATGGAGCACACAATGTTGGTCATGATATTGATATGTCCATGAAAACAAAATAGAGACAGCAAATCTACCCCTTCTCTCTCCCCCATCTCTCTGGAACATGTTATTGCTAACTCAAGCCCACAGGGCTATGTTAAAAAAATGCTTAGATTTGTAAATGTTGATTTGCATAAGTACTTCTGCCTGGCCAGTTGGTTCATAATTTAATTGCCAACTTAGTTGCTGCCAATATAAATGTCTAATTGCTAAACTAGAGTTGACAATATATCAAAGTTGCTTGTGCTAGAGGAGACAATGGCAGGAAAACATATGAAAGCCATGACATGTATGTATACAAGAAACTCTTGACAGAAAAGGGAGAGCATCTATCTAGCATACATAGGCCCGTCCCTCTACCCTTCTCCAGTTAAATACATGCGGGTTAGAACCCCTGATATACGCCTAACCCATACATCACAACCTATGCTCACAACTCGACTATTTCTTCTTTCTTCTTTTGCCTTCTTCAGTACCGATAGGCGGTAGGCTAAAAGAAGGACCAGGATATGAAGCAACATGAAACAGTCCTCAAATATGAAATCTTGCAATGCTATGCTTAGTTGGTTGTCAACACCCTTTGGAGACGGGAGATACCTTGTCAGTTAAGTAAAAATGGATCATGTTTCATTGTTTAACTTTTCTAGCGCTTACCCGACTTGCTTTTCCTGCTCAAATTGATACATAAATCTAAACTGTTTAATATTTAAAAAAAACATCAAAGAACTGCCTGAAGTTCCCTCTTAGTCACACGTCTCAAGTTGTCAATAGTACTAGTAGAATATTCGTCGACCTCAAATAACATTCAATTTGTTTTTTCTTTTTCAGGCCAAGTACTGCTTAGGGGAAGCACGTAAATACATACGAACAGACAATTGCCTGGTTAACGATAAGCTCAATGTCACCTCTGAAACTACGCAGCATGACAATTTAATAGGAAGAACGAACACAATGAAAACATAGAACTACATAACAAGCAAACAATAAGAAAAAGGAGAAGTAAATACAACTTTTTCTTCTCAAAAAAATACCTATCTTTTTTTCCCCTTGCCTCTAGGAAATCCATAAATTCCAGTGCACAATTTGGTAATTCACAATGAGTTAGCGAGAATTCATCTAACTAAAACCAACTAAAATACTTCTCTAGCACATCAATGTGCAGCACAAATAATGAAATAAAACCCTTCTTAAACAAAGATCACTATACCATTAATTTCCCAGCACACCAAAACACGAAAGGTAATATATTTTTCCTTTTCTTTGTTGTAGATTAAAAACCTATGAACTGACAATTGAGAGAGCATACGGAGGCAAAATATGAGCAACACAGATAAACTAGGGTTTCAACTTTCACGCACACAGAAATAAACAAACAGACGCAGTTATAGAAAAATTAAAAAAAAAAAAAAAACTAGTAATATGCTGTGACGAGAGAGAGAGAGAAAGAGTTAATTAGAGTGAGAAACTGAATGCAGAAAATGAGGCGAGAAAGAGAAAAGGTGAAGATTGTAGAAAGAAACTTACAGAGGGAATCGGCGAGAGAATAATGAACAATAGCGCATCGCCGGTGAGTGAAAACCCTTTTCTCAACACCTGGAGTGGAACTAGTGTGTTTAATTCTTTTTTCTAAATATAACTTAGTTACATTTTTTTTTTTTGAAAAAAAAAATGGTTTAGTTTTTGAAAGATTGTTTTCAGATCAAATGCCATTGTCCTCTATTTTTCTATAAAAAAAAATAAAAAAATACAACTTCTCAATAGATTTGTCGTGTTACATAGAGAAACAATAGTAATTTATAGGGTTTTATTCCAAAATAAAACTTTAAAATTTTCACAAAGCACTATTGTTTAGTGGTTATTAGCTACTTGTAGTTACCATTTACTATATTACTTTCTATAGCTATGTTTTCAGGTTTTTTAGAGTGTATTTGATGTATTTAAGCTACTGTATTCATGAATACAATAGCATTTCTCAGCGTGAAACAGGGGATTACAGCTAGACAGATTATTGTATTCGACTATATTCACGGCGTGAAACACGGGATTATAGCTAGACAGATTATTATATTCGACCGTATTCACGATATGTATTTGTGAATACAGTAACGTAAATAGCGCAACTCATGGTTTATTCAGCTGTTTTTAAATGAAAAGTGAATCAATTAACATAATAGACTTCTAATATAACTCAAACTTAATTATAACACACAAAATTGTATTTTCAGTTATAAAAAAGATTCTCAATCTAAAAACACCCCAAAAACATAACAATCTTCAGAGAAATTATATAATTACATTGAATACAGTTAAATACATAAAAATACATTGAATATATGAAGTATAACAGGTCATCTATAGTGCAAAAACATATGAATACATACCGTAGATACATTTGAATACATATATACATTCGAATACATAAATTATATTAATTAAAAAATATATATGAATACATTCATGGAATATAGCGAGATAGTGAATACAATGAAATACATGGAATACAACGGGATACATTGAAATACAATGAAATACATGGAATACAACGGGATACATTGAAATACAATGAAATACATAGAATACAACGAGATACATTGAAATACAATGAAAAAAGTAACAGACTCTTCAAGTTGCTCAGCCCTAAACTCTGTCATCTTTGTTCAAGAATAATCCTAATGTCGTCTCGTCAAGAGGCCCGCGATTCTAACTCGAAACTCTCAAAATTTGGCGCAAAAACGAAAGAAATTCCTTATTTTCAATAGCAGATTGTCTTCTTTTGTTAGTAATTGCGAATTTGGTAGATGAAGAAAAGCAACAATGGAGGTGGTGAGAGGCAAGAGTTGCAGTGGCCATGTCCGCATTTCATTGCAAAGCAACGACCATCAGAATGGGGTAGATCTTTCTCTCTAGGGCTTGATTTCGACATTGATTCAGAGCCCCAACCTACTGACAATGAAAATTTCGCAAGACAATTGAGATGAATCAATGGAGAATAGTGGTTGTATTCATGGAGAAAGACTGGCGTTGAAAGAGAGATGGTGGAGAAAAATCTGAAAGAATGAGAGAGAAAAATAATACAAAGCTATTTTACGGCTTAAGGGTAGGAGGTAACCATAAATAGATATTTGACTATAAAAATTAAAAGGTAGCTATGAAATATAATTTTTTAAAGGAATATTTATTTAAAATAAATAAGGTATCAACCTTTGCTATAGGAGGTAAAAAACGCTTTGTTTTCTAAAAATCAATACGTTTATTATGTCAAACAAATGTAGTACTGTATGATCTTTTGAAGTTAGTTCCAAAGCCAGCTGAATTGTTTCTGCACCAGACATGAGCCCACTATTAAATGTGAGCCTAGTTAAAATGTTTTTATTCAAAAAATTGAAGAAATATAATACTTTTTGGGATGGTCTTTAACTTTTGACATTCGATTGTCCCGTGGATAAAATTTGATGGTTAAAAGTTAAAAGTATTGTCCGTGAGGCAAGCGAGAAACAACACTCGTTAAATTTGAAGTTCTTCCTATTAGACAAGCATGTACAAAAAATTTAAAACCATCAACTTTGAGGGCTATTTGTGTACTTCACCCATTTTTGTTCAATTTCTTTCAACTTTGAGGGCTATTTGGGGTAGAGGATATGAGAAAACAAACCTTCATCTACGTGAGGGACGTTTGGACAATTCACCAAATGAGTTTACCTTTAATTTACAAAAAAATGAATGAATTGATTGTTAACAGTAAGATGTTTAAGGATAAATATTAGTAGTACACTTTGTCACATAATTTTGCCAATACTTAATGCTTATTAATTACGTTTCGTTTAGCTAAGTCAAACTAGCTCTAATATAGTACTTGGCCAATAGTAGCGGAACTAAAAGCAAATAGATAACGCAATGGCTCAGGGATTATAAACACTACTTCTCTGTTCTTTTTCTTACGACCCGTTCTTTTGGTTTTTACCTCCTATAGCAAAGGTTGATACCCTATTTATTTTAAATAAATATCCTTTTAAAAAATTATATTTCATAGTTACCTTTTGATTTTGCCAAATATTTATTTATTGTTACGTCATACCCTTAAGCCGTACAATACTCTTTGTATTATTTTTTTCTCTCATTCTTTCAGATTTTTGCCGCTTTCTTCTCCTCTTTTTCTTCATTTTTATTTCCTTGTACGCCACCAAAAAACTATAAGCTTTCTCCTTCTTCGTGCATTTTACTTTCAGAAAATCAGAAAAAGCCCCAAATTCAAAAAATGGCATCTTTCGCAGAGGCACCACCGGGGAACGAAGCAGCAAGGGCAAAGATCTTCAAGATCAACTGTGCTCCAAATTTTGAAAGTTCCGAGTCAGAATCGTGGCCCTCTTGACGAGACGACATTAGGGTTGTTCTTGAACAAAGACGACGGAGTTTGGGGCTGAGCAACTTGAAAGAGTTGAGGGTTTTTGCTCGACGGCGGATTCGCCAAAAATTAGGGTTTGTTCTTGAACAAAGACAACGTAGTTTGGGGCTGAGCAACTTGATTTTCTGTTAATATAATTCAATGTATTTTCAACGTATCACGCTGTATTTTCATGTATTCATTGTCTTTTTCTTTTCATTGTAATTCAATGTATCTCGTTGTATTCCATGTATTTCATTCTATTCATGACTATCTTTTTTTTCATTGTATTTCAATGTATCCCGTTGTATTCTATGTATTTCATTGTATTCACTGTCTCGCTATATGCCATGAATGTATTCATATAATTTTTTTAATTAATATAATTTATGTATTCAAATGTATTATATTTTTTTTTTTGAAGAATGCTATGTTTTGGGGTATTTTTCGGTTGAGAATCTTTTTTATAACTGGAAATACAAATTTTGTGTGTTATAATTGAGTTTGTTGAGTTATATTAGGAGTCTATTATGTTAATTGATTCACTTTCCATTTAAAAATAGTGTAATCTCCTGTTTCACGCCTTGAATACAGTCGAATACAATAATCTGTCCAGCTGTAATCTCATGTTTCACGCCATGAATACAGTCGAATACACTCGAATACAACAACTGATTAGCTGGACTTCCCTGATTCACGTCTATTTTTGCTATTGTATTCGTGAATACAGTAGCTTAAATACATCTAATACATCTTATAACAACAGAAAACGATTGTAATATAGCAAATGACATCTATAAATAGCTAATAACCACTAAAAGATAGTGTTTTATGAAAATTTCTCTGTAGTGTACTTAGCGTGCCTAAGTACAAGTGATACTAATAATCAACATAGGATGACTAGTAGCCTGTTTGTCCAAGCTGCTCCAAGCTAAAAGTATTTTTTTCAAAAAAAAAATTGAAGTGTTTAGCCCAGCTTTTAGCGGGAAAAAAATGCTTTTGAGTAGAAGCAGAAAAAAGTAGCTTTTCTCCAAAAACAATTTTTTGAAAAATACTTTTAAGAAAAATATACTTAGAAGCAATTTTTAAAAGTTTGGTCAAACACTAATTGCTACTCAAAAGTGCTTTTCAAATAAATTAGTAAAACACAAACACTGTTTCTCACCAAAAGTATTTTTAGAAAAAACACTTTTGAGAAATACCACTTCTCAAAATAAACTAATTTTTGCATCTTGGCGAAAACTATAGGTATTATTAGGTAACCACAAAAGGTAAGAGGAGGGAAAAACAATTAAACCTAGTAGACTCCTTTACTTTTCCAGGTTTGTCATCCTGGTCTCTATATTCCACAAAGTTTCATTCAAACAATTGTACTCGATCAAAATGAATATTTTAAATCCCTCTAACCATTTACCAAGCTTATTGGCATTTATTTTGATGAGTAGTATGAACTACGTAGTATGCACGTGCAAAGAGAGCGTGAACTTATAATCTATTTTTTTAAAGCAAAAGTCAAATATAATAAATAAAAAAGAAAAAGAAAAATAGCACAAATAAAAGTAAAAGGAAAAATAAACCCTCCTCCCATCTTCAAACCTATCTAGCACCCCATAAAAGTTACGCTACCCATCACCCCCCATCTACTACCTTCTACCCCGTATCCCTCTTTCACGGCCATCTGCTGCTTTCTACCCCATACCCCTCTTCCACGGCAAAGGTGGATCCAGGATTTGAAGGTTTTCGGTGCCACACTACTTTGAACATATAAGTATTATTATTTACACGGTCGAAATAGTGGTAAATATTTAGTCAACTTGATTCATTTTAGGCTTTGGTTCGGATTATTCTTCGTTTCGATTTATATAAACAAATCGCTTGAAAAAAGAACATAACAATTATGATAACTTTGCACAAAGAATGAAACTTTCAAAATATTACTAATTAAATATAGATATCTCATTATTGTCCTCGACGAATTTTCAAAATCTGAAGACGGTCGATGATGTCATCATTACTTATATTTGCATGCACTCCATGCTTTTTGGTGAAAGATCAAAATAACCTTGAAAATTTAAAAGACTAATATAATTAACATTCATTATTTTTAAAATCTAAATCTTTTTTCTATTTATAGTTTACCATCTAAACACATTTTAATTAATATTTATGTAATTTTTAAATTTAGCACTTAGTGAGAGTAGTACTTAAGCGAGAAAAAAATCAAGAA